GGGGGGTCAGGGCTTCAGTGTAGACACAGTCACACGGGGGGGTCAGGGCTTCAGTGTAGACACAGTCACACGGGGTGGGGGTCAGGGCTTCAGTGTAGACACAGTCACACGGTGGGGTCAAAGCTTCAGTGTAGACACAGTCACACGGGGGAGGTCAGGGCTTCAGTGTAGACATAGTCACATGGGGGGTCAGAGCTTCAGCGTAGACACAGTCACATGGGGGGGGTCAGGGCTTCAGCATAGACACAGTCACACCGGAGGGGAGGGGTCAGGGCTTCAGTGACCCCCAGGGCGTGACTGTCCAGGTTCATTTTTCCTCCCCAGTGAGGGCCAAACATGCTCACTCTCCTGTCTAGCGTGTGTGGAGGAGGCAGTGCAAACAGCCACCGCCAGGAAGCAAGTGGCTTTGGAAGAATTGACAGCGAGGTTGTGTTTTGGTTCAGTACCCCCAGGAAGTGAGGGGTCATGATTTTGCTGGCAGCCCTGAAGTCTTCAGCAGATCAATATCTTTGTCCATTTGGTATCTGAACTGGCAGGACAGGTGTGTCACAGGGGCTGGAGTTGGGCCAGGAAGGCCTTTGGGTAGGGGTCATAGGGGCTGGGGCGAAGCTGGGAAACCCTTTGGTAGGGACTGTGGTTTAAGGCTTTTTTTGCATTTGGGGACACGGGATTATGGAGAATTTCAGGTCATGTTTTGGTGGAACCTCTTGGAGACTTTAGAGGCTCTGCCCCAGTCATTTTGCCTGTGTTAGTGGGATTGCATCAGGTGCAGCGTCAAGACCCTTATCCGGAATCTGCGTCATGCTGCCCAGAGCCCACGCAGCTTGCCGGTGGGCAGAGGAGTCCTCCGGGAGCTCAGGAAGCCGTGTCTCTGATGTGCATCTAAGCTGCCATTCCATTTTCAAACCAAGTCTCTGCCTACTAAATTTTCAGGGGTGGAGTCACAGAGCAGGAATGAATGTTTTTCAGTCAAGGACCCAAGGATTACAGTTCAGGGCTGGGAAGTAGAGAAAACACAGCGGGTTATTGGAAACGCCTCCCATGGTGTGGTGTATCTAAACTGAGGAGGAGGATGACAGGAGACCTTGCAGGTCGAATGCAGGAAGAGCCATCCATAGCCACCAGGAGGATGAGGAGGACCACCTGCACCCAGCGTTAGTCACCCTGAGTGCTGAAGGCCAGGCAGGATGCTAGCGGCCCTTTTCTTCCTCAGGCACTCTCACTGGCCTGGAACGAGGAGTCTTTCTGTGTCTTGGTTTTTCTTTCTGGGGATGGGATTATGTTTTCTCCAGAATCCTTTGTGAATGTGGCAGCTATTACATAAGCGTCCTTGTCGGGAGCTGGGGCTGGTGAGGGGCACCTTGCTCTCGGATCCACAGGGACCCTGGCTCCTTTTTGTTCCAGGCCTTTTTCAGTGTGTTCTGCTGCTGGCTGTTGCTCAGCAGAGGGCTATTCGCATCCCTATTTCTGGTTTTGAGTGAGGCTTCACTCCGTTGACCTAATGGAACAAAAGGGCTGCTCTTACACCAGCACCTTCATACCTTGAAGGGTAGAGACAGTCGAGGTTGTTGGAAGGGACTCTCTAGTCTGTCCCCAAATCTCCAGTTCTTTCATCTTATGGCTGTGTTTGTGATTATTCTAATCACCTGCTACGGGAGATGTTTTATCACAAACATATCAATTTAGATGTGTCTGTGACTCTTCTAATCACTCCTACTGGAGACGCTTTACGGCCGTGTCTGTGACTGTTCTAATCAATTCCTACTGGAGACGTTTCATGACTGTGTCTGTGACTGTCCTAATCACTCCTACTGGAGATGCTTTAGGGCTGTGTCTGTGACTGTTCTAATCAATTCCTACTGGAGATGTTTCACAGCTGTGTCTGTGACTGTTCTAACAACTCCTACTGGAGATGTTTCAGGGCTGTGTCTGTGACTGTTCTAATCACTCCTACTGGAGATGTTTCACGGCTGTGTCTGTGACTGTTCTAATCAATTCCTACTGGAGATGTTTCATGGCTGTGTCTGTGACTGTTCTAATCAATTCCTACTGGTGATGTTTCACGGCTGTGTCTGTGACTGTTCTAAGCAATTCCTACTGGAGATGTTTTAGGGCTGTGTCTGTGACTGCTCTAATCAATTCCTACTGGAGATGTTTCATTGCTGTGTCTGTGATTGTTCTAATCAATTCCTACTGGAAATGTTTTAGGGTGGCATTTAGGACTTGGCTGGGGGAACTTTTTTGATCCTTGGGTTTATTTATTGACAGAGGTCAGGTAATTCTGGGTCATGTGCCTCCAAAAGAATTCTGAATTCTTCTGTTGGTCATTGCAGGTCTTGTCTGGGTAGGGACTCCATAAGTGTAGCTCTGAATTCAGCTTCAATCCAGGTTTCAGTTCTGGATTTACCTATACACCTGGCTCCTGGGAGGTTGGGCTTTTCCAGGCAACTGGCATTTGGGAGTCTTAGGAGGGCTGAAAAAGACAGAGGTGGAGTCGATAGAGGAGCTGGAAGGGAAGGCCAGGCAGGGGGAGTGCTGGGCAGGGACAGTGAAAGGACAAGGAGGGAGGGCTTAGAGCCTGGGAGTCTGGTTCATTGCCAACGTCTGCCACGTTACTGACTAGCTTTAGCCAAATACTGTTTTAGTTAAGTTATTTTTAAATCAGAACTTTATTTGGAGGCTTCTTCATATCAATCAAAAAAATGCTGCCCACTGGGCCTGAACAATCTTATTATCTATCTTTTTTAAGTTATCTCTCAATGAACAACTTTGTTAAAGTAAAATGTTCCCCCTGGCCAGCCACTAAGGCCCAATCATCCTTGGGGAATTGATGCCATTTAGAGAGACAGGCACCAGAATTCGGGTTGCAGCAAGTCCATTCAAGAAGGAGTTTCCCTGGAAGAGGCGGGATTGAGACATGGCCCATGAAAGCGGGTGGCAGGAAGTGGACATTTAGTGCCCAGGCCTGTGCCTCAGGTCCCCGACCTGACACCTCGACGCACAGAGCCTCTCCCTGGGCTCCAGCAGTTATAGCACCAGAGACAACACTCAGAATGGATCAAAGTCAAGCTCAGCACAGAAAATAGACAAAGGGGAACTCCATCCTATTTTCTTGGTAGCCTGTAGCAGTCTGTCCAGGCACATGCTGACCCCAAGCCTTGTTTGTAAGAAGAGGGCACTTTTTGTGGAGGGCAAACTGTATTGTCCGGAATCGTAGCTTGGGTATGATGGACCCAGAGCTGAGGGCTGTTCTGGGGGAGCTGCCCTGTCACTGCCCCCGTGGAGCTGTCTGCTGTACTCTGCAGCGTGCTCCAGGCCACAGCGAGACACTCCCCACGTGACTGATAAAAACCCTCTTCCCCACGAGTTGCCAGCCTGAACCCAAAGCCCAGCTCCATCTCCTGGGTGTCAGGACCATGAGCCAAACACCAGGCTGCCCAGAAGGATGGGCACATGCCACCCCTACCTCAGCCTTTCCTGCCCCTCACTTCTACATTAGCCACACACCTCTTTCTCCAGGTCAGAACCCAGGAGCCATTATCTGCCCCTGTGGCCTCAACACCCAGTCATGGCCTGTCCCCCATGTCCCTGCTCCACCTGGCCCTGGTTATCAGCCCCAGCCCCAGCTGGTCTCCACCCTCCATTCTCCCCTCCCCTTGAGCCAGTGTCTGCACTACTGTGAGCCTCCCTGTCCACACCCCTGCCCACCAGGTCTCCACGGCCAAGGCCAGACCTGCCCCAACTCCACTGCGGCGCAGTGACCATCCTGCCTTGCCATCTGTGTCCAGCTCAGCAGCATCTCCTCGTCCTCCCTCGTCTGACCCGGCCTAGCCACTGTGTCCTCGGCTATGCATGGGAGGGGCTCTGTGGGCTTCTGAGTGTGGGAAGCCAGGACACACCCCCTGCACTCCCCCTGCTTTGTCACTGCACGAGGCCCGATGTGTGGCCAACACGCCTATCTCTTCCCTTCTAGGACATCATCAACTCCATGAGCAACAGCCCTGCCACCAGCAAGCCCCCAGTGACGCTGAGGCTGGTGGTGCCCGCCAGCCAGTGTGGGTCCCTGATTGGCAAAGGAGGCTCCAAGATCAAGGAGATCAGGGAGGTAACATGACCTTCCCAGCCTGGGTGGGTGCAGAGCCTCTAGGCAGGCTGGGGGTGGTGGGCACAGGCCAGGCAGTCTTCCTGAACCTCATCCCTGCTGTCTGCCAGCCCAGCGCTGGCCATGCAGACCGTGCAGCTCAAAGCCCGAAACAAGAACACAGGACACATAAGCAAGCAGAAGTGTACTGCAGGGACCCACCCCACCCACTGCCCACCTATGGACCCACCCCACCCACTGTGTACCTGTGGACCCACCCCACCCACTGCACTCCTGTGGACGCAACCCACCCACTGCGCTCCTGTGGACCCACCTCACCCACTGCACACCTGTGGACCCACCTCACCCACTGACTGTGCACCTGTGGACCCACCCCACCCACTGTGCACCTGTGGACCCACCTCACCCACTGCACACCTGTGGACCCACCTCACCCACTGACTGTGCACCTGTGGACCCATCCCACCCACTGCGCTCCTGTGAACCCACCCCACCCACTGACTGTGCACCTGTGGACCCACCCCATCCACTGACTGCGCACCTGTGGACCCAC